TCTCTACCCCCACCCACCCCCGTAATAGAGTGCATGTCAGTTTGACAAGTGCTCCTGTTTCATGGACAAGCGCGTGGTTCAGGCACAAAGACACTCACTCACACACATGCACACATACGTGGTAACAGTTTGATTGTTAATTCGCTCTCACCCGGGGAAGTAAGTTTTATAATTTTGGGTTCTTTGAATTGGAGTTGTCATCTAGCTCTGACTAAAATTCGGTACAGTTGAAACGTGCGATCGATGAACTAACCACAAATACATATTGCACGGAACCTTATGCGCAAGTTTGTTTGACAAAGTTTGCTTGTTGCCGTGCATGATTTGACAGATCAAGCTTGTTGAATCCGAAACCCCCTGCCCAAACCCCTAAATCTGGGCAAAGCAGGGTACTGACTGCTTCATTGAGTAACTACTTCATTTGACCACGTGATAGAATATAATATATACTTTTTTCATCCACCTCATGAATGAGGCGAAAGCGGAGAACTGTCTTTTTGCATACCAAGTGCATCCCGAAATCAGTGATATCCCCAAATTTCCATCTTCCTTTGTCTTGAGCCAGGCACATCGACTGAGGGCTGGGGACTGGGACCAGATAGGACGGGAGAGGGGAGGGGGGTTGGCACGTGATTCCACTTGACCGGCGTTTTCACTGTATTCATTCACTGTGCTCATCCAGCTCGCAAATGTTGATTATGTTCACATCCCGTGAATCCCCGTTGTTCGTGGAGGCAGGTTCGTTTTAAGAACCAGCTCTATAGTTTTACTTGCTCTCACTGTGTCAATCTGTTTCCATTGCCGAGCGGGATAAAATTCATCCAAGTGGCATTAACAAATTCCCCTAGTTTTCCCCCATCATATATATCCTGGAAATAAGAATATTTGCCGCGGGTAGGTGTAATAACTCCGCTGTACCGATGCTCATCTCGGTTTTTTCAGAAGTACGGAGTGGGTTTGTGAGTGATGTACTATTGCAACATACGTGATGGAATCACCATTCGACAGTGTTACTTTTGAAGTAGAATCCAAGTGGTATTAATTATGTCAAAGTGCACGCGAATCCCAGAAGATGTGTGATACTATGGATACAATTAAGTTTCATTAATGCATACATTCTTCATAATGATTCACACCTGGTTTAATCATTTGCGCTCAATTTATTTGGAATTCAGTTGATAGCCAACGAAATAAACACAACTGCCCTAGTTATCTAGCAAAGTCCGTTTGTGTTCAAACAGACGGCATCAAAATGATTCCACTGTCTTGGAAAACAACTACTATTGCCCAAACTATCGTATATCCAAAGGAACACGGCGTCTGGCTTCTGTCTCTTAATTTTGCTTGGGAATTCCCAGTTGTCTGGATCAAATTAAAATTGATGCATATCAAACAAAGACAATCACTTGATCGAGGATTTCAGTGTAGGTCGTTTTGCTTAGTTTGTGACAATGGAGAAAAAAGGACACGGTATGGCAGTATGCAACAGTGAAATGGAAAACCTGGTCATGGCGTTTCACAGTGAATACAAATAGAGAAAGGAAAGGGCACGATTTTCTCACCTAAGTACACTGACCAACACTCTTAACGGTGGGTTGTTACTGAAGCAAACCCGTGCAGCAGAAATCTAGTTTAAGGCTGTTGGTAACGTTTAATCGCTCCATTGTTACACATTTATGACTAAACGAGACGGGAAAATGTAATGACTAAAGACATTCAGGATTACTGAATAAATTTGTGGTATGCAAACTCTCTCTGCTTGGGCAATAGGATAAAAGCTACCGAGAAGCTCCAGTGGTGTGATGTACCTGTTTTTGTTATTGTTATTGCACATCTATGAGAAGTATTGGAATTCGAACCCCGGAGATAACGAATCCATGACCCGACAAACTGTCCATTTTAGTGATCATGTCTGGCATTTACCAATGCTTCTAACCAGAATAAACAGATCATAATTTCTACACTGGGACTTCGATCTAAACATGTTGTGATATTTTAAATTAAAATATATCATTTATATATTATATTTTATCCAAGATGGACGGTGGGAGTGATTCGGGATTAATCAAGCCTAAGTGGAAGATAAATAACCGTATATGATTTTTTACGATTGTGTGTATACGGTCAATCATTTACTGCTCAATCCACCCCAATCGTTTCTTTGCTTCCTCCTACTTCGGCGATGACAAAACAATCTGTGTTACATCTGTAATACCTTACCTGCATCATATTTTCTCCAGGCTGGGTGAGATTTGAACGCGAATGATATATTTGAGATATGTTTTACCTACTGGTCCTCTGGCATGTTTGCTTTTACTTATACGACAGTGGTAACGGAGGATACGATTCAATTATATGGTCACTTATATAGTGAACTTCATCATGCAAAGAGCAAATGAAGCGTGAACTAAACAGCCAAGATGCTTTGCACAACCGCCTCGATCTAATTGGGTCTTGTGTGAATTCATCGACCCAACTGGGGATCGAACCCGGGAAGTCACAGGTAAGCACACTACCCAATCGACCATCAATCAACTGATTAGATCACTTATTATATATATAGATCATAAGTGAGAACAAACACCATTTTCATAATTGAAAACTTTTTTTGTGTATATCAAACGCTTCTTATTTTCCAGCTCGTAATCTCCGAAAGGAATAACGCGACAACTGTAATCATGGTCCCATTGATGGATGTTGCTGGTGCAGAATTTGTTTTTTTCAAGGTGACCATTCATCCGCTTCGTAGTATGCTCTCCTGAATACATGCACTACCTCAAAAAGCGCTCTGTATTTGGTAAGTCAGTTTCCCTACTCCAATACAATACATTTAAGGGCCAAATCCTTCAAATTATATACATATGTAGAAATTATCATAACCTCAATAATAACATGGTGTTCATATTTTGATATTGGCCTTTAACTGCAAAATGTAAGGGATACCAATTAGCACCGCCGGGTCAGCATCAATTCCACAGACCCCCTGTCATTCAATAAATTTGAGCTTACTCATTTCAACTGCTATTCCAAAGCAGTAGAAGAAATTACTGCAATTATTGAACACTTGCTTCCACTACTCGGTGTGAACGACTCACGTAACCTGTAACAGTTACCGTGTTTGTTTTTGTCTGTGGTTTTATTTTTACTAGAAGTAATCATATTTACCACGGTCAGCTATTGTACGGCTAAAACGGTGGTTATTCTAGGAAAGGAATATACTACAGAAAGAATTTGAAGCTTTTCCTCAGTGCACATCTAAAGATCACGTGACAGCTCAAATCTGGACGTGCGTCATTATCATTTTGATACTTTCACATGGAAAGTATGTGGTGTGGCTTCCAACGGTCCTAGTAACGAGGTTCATTGGCGGA